CAGAATTTCGACGGGTTATTTACTAATAGTTTATTATAATTTAGACAGTCACTAAGGGATTTCGGCAAGCAACCTTACTCTCAACCATCTAGTATCCAACCCCATCAAGTACACACAGTTACTATTATCACTCTTATACAATTCTTAGTTAATTACTATAATTAATTAATACCTTGCCTATCAATATAAGAATGGTAACAATATTATAATATTTTTATCATGAAATATTTTATATAAATAAAGGATCTTTTGAATAAATCAAAAAACATCAATTAATCAATACAAAAATCTAGCTAGTTAATAAACTGCTTCTTGTTTATTGTTTAATGAAATTGTATATTAATTGATTTTATAATTAATACTTATCTTTATTATACACTCAACCAAATCGTTATAGAATATCAATACTGTATTACTATAGAATTATTTATACACTAAGTAAATACAAAAGCAAGATATTTATTAATAGTAATAATATCCTATTTTATTTTAATAAAATAAAAGAAGTTACATAGTGCACTGATCTTAACATAACTGGATCAAAATTAGTATAATTGAGAAATTACAAGAGATGTTAATTGAACATTCATGTTATAAGATTATTTATCTGAATTTGTTTAACAATGTGTTCATATATTAAATCAGTAATAATATGAAATTGATCACATAAGCTATTTAATTATTATTTTTGTTTTGGTAATATTGCAAATTTCTTCAAATTATAATTAATTTTCAATTTGATTTCATATTGGTAATATTGTTAGTGAGTATTCAATACTTTTTTTTATTGATAAAGATTCCAATCAGAATTTTGCTGGATCAAATTACAAAACAAAAAACATTTATTTGTTTTTGTTTTGATAACAATGATGTTATACAGAATCCAGCCAATCATTGAATGTGTTACAGATTAGATCATGTGTATTAAGTTAATCCGAATAATCATAAGATTATCCGAGTTGACTTAATTTTTAATTCACTACCTTGCTTTAGCGTTTCCCCAAAAACAAGTAAAAATGCTTAGCACGAGATTTTAGATATAATTTAGTCTTTGAAAGCTAGCATCTTATCTAACAAAATTTCTAATAAAATTAGAACTACTCCGCTTTAAACCTCCTCCAAATTTCAAATATAGATCACGTATAGTAATTGATTATAAATTTTCTGAGGATTTTAGTTTTTATAGGTATTATCTAGAACTACATTACATGCACGATTGTTTGGGTTAACAATAGGACTAATTCATTACAGCGGATTGTATGTCCGTACGGAGAAATTGAATCAGCACTCAATTTAGTTCGAAAAAATGACTTCACATTTTCCGCCTCTTGTTCCATTCGTTCCACTCTCTTCGGCAGTAGTCTCCCAACTCGTAAAGAATCATCACTTATACTAACCACTACCTCATGGGAAAATTTCGTGCGAGAAAGCGAACTTAGATCCTCAAAAACCAATGTAAAATTACATATTCGGATGGGTTTAAATGTAACACATCATTCTAATCATTTAGTCATAATGGTTTTTTAAAAACATGTTGAAACCATTTATAAGTGGGTAGACGCCATCAAAGCAAGAAATTTCCTTTCGATCATCCATTCCTGCGTGCCATCCTTGTATAGCGTTACGTACTTTTTCTCCACTAATTCATAATAGAAAGTCGTCTGTATGACGAGCACAAAGTGCATTTCCTTGTATAATTCCAAAAGCAATTCGTCACCATCTACGTCATATTTACAAACAATCCGAGTACATGCATTAATAATCACTTATCATTGTTATTATTTGTAAATATGTTTGCCAAACAGTGTTGTTGGACTTCTGGAAATGGGTAAATTTTCTTATACAGCATTGATTTCAGGGACTCGTGCAAAGGTCGCAATTCTACCCAGACCGGGATAATCCTATTATCCGATTAATTCAAATAGACTTGACTAATTATCCGACCATATCGTTTAATTGTATTAGTATGAAAAACAAATATGTGCCTCTAATCATGTTAATGTGTAGTTATGTCTTGAACAAAATTACTGTGTTTCAAGCCCATTTCCCTGACTTTTAAGCATAGGAAATTAAAACGAGCGATCTATCCAAACAATCAACACAAAGACGAAATATCATTGCCCACAAACATATAAGATTAAAAATAAAAAAATAGCCATCATGATTGATGCGTAATTTATGTAAATAGTGCACCAATCAAAGTTGACGCGAGAGATCAAAAAATTTCTCCGTCGTTTGAAACGTTTCGGATGATTAATTCAACAGAAAAAGCGTTTGAAAAAAGTATTGCCCGGACATTTACAGATTACTCACATAACACTTTATTTTTCGATTGGACTTATTTTTTATAGTATACAAAAATTCACAAATTTGCTTTTAAAATTTTGATTAAAGTTAAAAGACATCTTTATTGTCGAAATAATTTTTAATTAAATTATCAAAATGTTCGTCGCATCAAAATCATGTTTTATTACTGAACTGAGCAATAAAGTATTAATAGCAACAATAACAGTAAAAAGTTGCAAGAGAGAAGAAGGTGGACAAAAAATGGCGCACACCCTAAAATAATTAATTAATTACACCAAAATGCACATACCATTTTGTAACTTAAGTTTTGGTGAATACTCGAGTAATTAAAAAAACAAACGCCATTTACCTATCATTTTCACAGTTCTAGCATATAAAACTCGAATTTAAAGTAAAAGTAAACAAAAACAAATAATTAATTTGCAAGGCTTTTATTTTCACATGTGATAATTTTTGATCAGTTTGTTTTTTATCAAATTTTACATATACTAAACTACAAAATGTTCTGTAGATTTTTGAGAAATTAGCAGACTGATCAATAGCTTTTTTTTTTAATTAATTTTTAGAAATGTATATAATTAATTATTTTAGGGTGTACACTGTCTAGCGTAAGAAACTCTCGAAACAAGAAATTTCTTATTATAAGAAAATACTCATTTAAAATATCTTTTTTTATAAGAAAGTTAATTATATTTTTTTTGAACTCTTATAATGAGAGGGAGTTATACATAGCAATTAATTTGTAAGCAAGGCGACCAAATCGAAATCACCTTAACAACCGATACGCATACTAATTTTAAGCACCACCATTTCATAAATCAAGCACCACTCAAATTTTATTACCAATAATAAATAAGCACCATTTGAAAAATTATATAAATTTCACCAATTTTAGAAGTTATTGTATTTTATTGTAACCAAAAACATACCGCTTGAAGTCTAAAATAATATCATAATAACAAATAATCGTTATCAATTTGCTAAGAATCATCTGTTACACTTATCAAAATTCCCTAATAAAACCAATTACGTAGTGTGTTTAGTAGCCTTGGATCGCTGCAGCTTTATTATTATAAACGTCAATCCTTATTTTATTGATAGGTGTGGTGTGTACATTATCGTTATTGTGTAGTGTAGAACATCTAATTTGAAAGAGATAAGATAAGATTTAGGATTCTAATATTCTATTTCATAAAGTAACACCATTACAAATAATGCCTTGATTTCAAACAATGAATGACTGTGCGCGCCAGAACACCATAATATCTCGATTTGGAAATAAAAAAGAAAGATAAATTTATGCAAATATTTGTTCACGCGCATACATGCGCGCACATGCAAACATACGTAGTGTGTGTACGAAATAATATCTCGCATAACTGATAAACACCAAAATGCTGATAAAGTAAAGCACGCAATAATTGATAAACCTAAAGTGACTATGCATAAATCTCCTTGACATGCTGACGAGCAACAAGAGATAAGATAAGAATAATCAGATTCAATATTTGGAACGAATACAAATAAGAACAATATTACCGTTACTTCCAATACCATAACATATGTGTGTTGTGTGTGTGTCAATGTGTCAAAGCGTCTTTATGAAATTGTGACTATAAGGAAAATTAAATTGACAAATCTTGATTATCTTGCTTTTTAAAGTTTCATTTACACTCTTATCTGTCAGAATGACAATGTTACATAGAATTCTTGTTGCATTGTTGGCAATCTTTGCTGTATATGAATTTAGCTAATTTTGATAACTGATAACGAATTAGATGTATCTGCACCACATTACAGACTTTCGAAATCCACAAGTAGAATGAAAATTATTTTGCTTCTTCCTATTTTCCTTTTTCCTTTCTTATGTATTTTTCTTTTTCTTCTGCACATATAATATTACTAATATTAATTATTGACATTAATACTTATGAATGCTACAGTGTATTCTTATTCAATGTGTAAAGGGCACTATTAATACCTATTAAACTAACTATTATTATTATCACTACTATAACAAAAAATTTCATTTAACAAAAAAATTAAAAATTAAAATTTAATTTAACAAAGAAATTTAATTTGATAGGTTCAGGGGCGTGTAACAATGCACGTAATATAATTTTGCATGTCATATCTCCAAGATCACGCTCGAGCATCGATATATTAATTTCTCGCGTGAGAAACAATGGATCATATACCGTAATTTCGTTTTCTCGTCTCATTTTTGTTTTTTACGCTTTATAATACAATAAATAAAAATATGCAAATAGGTGAAAGTATTAAATGTACAGTCAGTGCTTTTGCATTATTATTTACTATTTGTGGATCTCTATATGCGCATTATTACTATTATTCCTATTTCTACGTATTATTGTCATATAGATAGATTTTTCCGCAATTACTAATTTCCAGATATTTTACTGTGGCAACAAGTGAGACGCGGCGAAAAAGGGTTTTGTATATACATAATTTATATGCGAGACCATGGTAGAGCATACATGAACAAATGGATGCTAAACGCATGAAAAAACGAGATGTACGAATGAGTGAATCGATTAAATCGATGAACTAGTGAGCTGGATCCTATCCAATGAAGTTGGTCGGTGATGTTTTCTGATCGTTGCTGCTGATGACGTAAACATTGATTATTACACGAAACTTTAAAATATAGAAATAACGTCACGCAAGAATCAGAGATGGACACAAAAAAGATCTAACATATCACTGGTTATATGCTTCCAGTGAGGCTAACTATAAAAAATATCCCGAAAATAGCTAAGTTCTTACTTCCGAGTATAATGTATGTACGAAAATGTTGAACTTTTTCAATATATTATTTTTTTACAGTGACATTAGTTTAATTATTCGTTTTTACCTTCTGGATATTTAGATCTATATGAATAAATTAACTAACTTTTGCCACCGATATATATATATAAATTTTCTGCTTTTGTATGTTTTCGAAACAAAAAAAAAATACGTTTCCAAAAAATAAATCTTAGCAAAAAAATAAAAAAATTAGCATAACTGGCAATAAATCACGAATCAAACTGTCTTCGTTCATTTTCTTCGTTCAACCTTTACTTAATTTTTTCTGTTCTGAAACGTTTTCGCTCGCTTCATTCATTCTTTCTGTTACGACAAGATCGCGTCACGATTTCTGGATAATATATTTTAATAATAACAAACAAATTAAATAACAACAATAGGAAAATAAATCCTTTTATAATTTATTAAACGTACATACATTCACGAAAAAAACCAATTCAAGTAAATTCTATCGACCGACAAAAATTACATACGCGTAGGGACTTTATAATTTTCATCCGAGACTCTCAAAAGAAAGTAGAACTAGTAGTGTAGTTAAGTGTAGTTAGTGTGTTGCGAGTTGTGTCGCATCTGCAGACCATCATATCAATCCCTTTATTATGCACAATCAGAATATCGTTATGAATAACAACAATAATAGCAATATTAGTAACAACAATAAAGATAACAACAACAACCATAACAATAATAACAACAATAAGAATAAGAATAACGATAGAGAGCCTACAGAAAACATACAGACTCCAAGTTCGGAACACACCGACACAAGTCCACCGCCACGAAGAAAAAAAGCGACGAGAGCTTGTTTTCATTGTCAGAAAGCACACTTAACTTGCGATGACTGTAAGTGATTTGGTTTCTCGTTTTTTTTGTGTTTACGCCTTTATTTTCCATAATCTCTCCTTTTCCATTTCCACTCGTATTGCTACTTATCCTTTTTGGTTGGTTTAGATTTATGGAATTAATAAATAATATTATGTGTGAAGACGTACCAAAAAAAAAACCAAGCTATACATTAATATGAATTGATCGATTGATCGATCGACAGATCCATGAGAAAACGCTATATAATAAATAATTGATTTATAACAAGTTTTTTACCTTTTATTTTTTCCCTCCAAAAAAAAAAACAGCCAGACCTTGTCAACGCTGCATAAAGAGAGATCTAGCATCGACGTGTGCAGACGGAATACGGAAAAAAGCGAAATATTTGCAAGATCCACACTACGATGGTTCGTAAAAAAAAATCAAATTAAAATCCGTGATAATTAATATATAGTGGATAGATTCTATTAGGAATCCAGTATTTTCTAGAAATTTGCATTGATTTTTATTCTTTAAGGCAATGAATATATCTTACTATCAGATTTCAATTTTTTACTAACCAATAGCGTATATTCCCCCTCAAACCAATTCTGATCAATCAACTTCTTTGTCTCCTGAACGACATTTACAAATTCACCTACAACGTCAACAATATCATCAACGTCAACAAATGAATTCTTCTTCGCTTCCTGGTTATTTCGACCCTTCGTCGATGGTATAATCTTTGATATTTGAATATCACATATTTCAATTGATCAATTCTAATCTATCCCTATTCATATTCAAAAATACAATACACATATAGTCTATACAATCACCACAAATACCAAACCAAACAAATGCCACATCTCCTCAATCTTCTTCACATTCGTTGGATTCCACACATAATCATTCGTCAATCCGTCCAATACCACCGCCATTACAATTACATAACTTACCACCATTATCATTTAATCCACTAACAACTCCACTACCGTCAACTCCTCCATCAACTCCATTATCCACGTCATCATCACCTCTAATGACATACAACCCGGCACAAATAATGAATCATCCTTTTTTTCTGGGTGTATTCGATCCAAATACAGCTGTCTCGTCAACAACGACGAATCAAAATGTTTTCATGCATAGTGGGTTCCAACAAAACCCCAGTGAGTATCATCTACACAAACAAAATTACACATATCCACCCAATTTACCTTGCAAAATTCATATATATCCAGAAAATTTCAGCTTGATATTCCTTCTCTCTCTCTCTTTCTCTCTCTCTCTCTCTATCTCTAATACCGATCAATATAGGAGTAAAAATGATGTATGTTTAGATTTTTTAAGTGGACGAATTATTTGCGATCGGAGATTTTTGGGTGATCGTAATAGAATCGATGGAGAAGGAGCAGTAGGAGGAGGAAGAGGAGGAATAGTAAAGTAGTAATCGTTATCTCACTTATAGAGATTAAACACAACGAGTTCATCAAAGAGCAAATTTTTCTAATGTTGATCGAATTTTTACGATTTTAACAAATAGATAACATAGCGGATCCTGTTCTTTACTATCCCTTGACAACGGCTAATTATGGATTTGAATCGGAAGCTGTAACGATGGAATACTCCATGTTGAATCATATGCTAAATTCTGCATCAACAGAGACACTAGGTGCACATACTGGTTTCTCGAATATGGATATGATGGATACTACATGGTCTACCAACAATACAGCAGCCACGTCCACAACACCAAGTCCTGTGAACAATCTGAAAAGAGATAGCAGTGGAAAAAGAAAATCTGGCATATATACACCTCAAAATGTATATGCTAACGTTACAAAGCCATTCTCTTACACGGAGGGGTTTCATTATCTGGTTAAGTGGGTTAGAGAAAGGTAATTATTACCATATATGTAGCAACTATGCTGCTGTGGTGGCCTGCTAAACTGAAAATATTTTATTTTCTTCCCATTTCGTATATAATTGATTAATCATAGAATGAGTAAAGGTCACATTGAAAAAATCGTTCGAGCATTAGCAACTTTTCGACCGTCCTTTATCGCCTTAATAATGAATCTTACGGAAGAGGACCTAATAGTCATGGAAAAATGTTTCCAACGAACATTATTGGTTGGTCTTTTTTTTTGATGGTTTTATTCTCTTTTTTTCAAATGACCGTTAAATATAACAATGTTTTGCTTTTAGGAATTTGAAAAATTAATAAGCTTCTCGGGAACACCGACTGTGGTGTGGCGACGAACAGGACAAATAGCACTGGTAGGGAAAGAATTTTCGTTATTGACACAATGGTCACGTGATCAGTTATTAGGGAAGGCTATGTATATTTACGAGGTATTATTTCTTTTTTCGGTATGATTGCTATTGATAGGAAATACGTTATTAATATTGTATATTTTAGGTTATGGATAATCAATCAGCGGTAGAGTATTGGGAAAAATTTGCGGCTCACGCTTTTGACAATAGTACGTCATCAGTGATGACCACGTGTATTCTAATTAGTCCACAAGGTCGAACGGTACCGTGCACTTTTTGTTTTACTATAAAACGCGATCTGTTTGATATTCCGTTAGCGATAGTTGGCAATGTAAGTATGCACGTGTTAAATGTTTTTGTTGAGAATAAATAATGACGATGATGATACAAAAAATTTTTTTTCAAATTTTAGTTCTTACCAGTCTTAAGTTGACGCGCTAAAAATGTGGGAAGAAAACAATCATAAAATAAATATATACTAGCAATCCTAATGATCATTCATTCAATCACGCACACACTCACACTTCACTCGTTCAAATCCTTCAAATATATAATACTACTACTACAATTAATATAATTAATATAATTATTTCGTGAACTCAAATCAAACACGCAAGATTCATGAGAATCGTGGGAAATAAGTAACATATTTTTATGAAGATTTTGTAATTGTTATCATATTCATTCGTGAAGAGAGAGAGAAGCAAGTAAGAAAAACTTTAATAAAGAACATTAATCAAGCACTTTTAAATATGGATAATTATTATCTTCAAGAATGTAACTAAAAAACAAGATTTTTGGTGGCACGAAAAAGGACTGCTTCAACCACCCACAACCTATATCGAAATCCTGCGACGTCAGTGAAAGGCAGGTTACTACTACTACTTGTTGTTTGGGTATAGGGCTCCTAAGAGACGAAGCATTATTTTCATATTGTACGGTAAGCATGCGGGTTATAACGTGAGTATATAATGTTCTTTCTGAAATGCTTAAACTCTCACTAATTAACACTAACATTATTCAATAAAACCTCTCTTAAGAAGCCATCAAAGCCAACATCCATTCATTCAATATAAACAACACGTAAATGATTTTAAACAGCGATGTAATGATTTCACAGAAGCCAACCATTTCAACGATCAAGAGAAAGGTACGGCCTCCTCGTGCGTTAATGACCCTCTAACAGGAGAAATTTATTTCATATTTTGACTGAATCCTTCCAATAAACCATACATCGGTAAGTCGATTATGAATCAATAGATTATCTTATGCTATTAAAACAAATCACTGCTTTTTCTCTAGCACGGTTTTTCACTCATAGGTAACCTATCTGAATTTCTCCAGTTTAAGCAATATTTTTTTCTTAACACTCAAACATAGGATAGCATATACAGCTTATCCAATACTCCAATTTAATTGTTGATTCACTGGACGTTAATAATAAGAGGAGAAAGTTGAAACGATCTAAATTGATGAAAGTATTAATTATAGCAAGAAAATAACTAGCCCCTGCATATCTTTCGTCGCAGAGTTTTTTTCCATAGTTACTCGACACAAAGAAGCGCCTCATCACTTTTTTTGGTGCTGCAATGTCCTTCAATTCAAACGGGCTATAGGAATAAAGGTAACATCACTCGCAAACGGCACATGTCAGTTAGCTAGAATTTGGATTATAACAATGTTTAATAGATGTAACTTGGTGAAAAGAGTGGGTCAACCTTGGGCTTGGAATTATTTAAAATGTTAATCTGGTGTCTCTGGCTCGAATAGAAAAATCTTCATATAATGATTGATAAATTCAAGCACTTTTTCTTCGCTTCATTTCTTCCGATATGGTCCTTGACGAGTGATCTTTTAATTTGTTTGTTGCAAAAATAAGAATCTTAACTTTCTGTTTGATATAATTCAAATTTGACTTGCGCCTCTTTGGGGCGACACCTTAGGTTTTCTCAATTTTGGGTAATGAGGTTTCGGCTTAAAGAGGGCAGAAAACTTCGTTTTAACGAGGGTTCGTGCTATTTTGAAAATTCGATGTTCTCAGAGCACTAAATTGTTTTTGAGAACATTAATAACAAGTATAAAAATGTTCTCTTATTTGTGAACACTTGTAAAACTTGATACAATATATTTAATATAGAACAAAATTATTTTGCGAAGCTAAAAAATCATTCGACAGTGTCACACAGTGCAGGTTGAGTCAACATCACTCATATTACTGCGGATTATATAATCAATAATTTATCAACCACAAAAATTCATATCGATATTCAACAAATCCCTTGGAGTTTTGTCCTATATAATAATGTCTACAATAGAGGGTAATTTTTTTTACTACTCGTTTTATGAAATTTGGTATTGAATTGGTGCATAAACATCTATTTTTTAGCCACCGGCCAACAACAAATCAACTTTCCCGCTGAGGAAGTAAAGATTTTAGAATTCTGGCGAGAAATCGAAGCGTTTCAAACGCAAATACGATTGTCCGAAGGAAAAAAACCTTACTCATTTTATGATGGTCCTCCTTTTGCTACCGGGTTACCGCATTATGGGCATTTATTGGCTGGGACTATTAAGGTTAGTTATATTATTTACAAAAATGTCGGAGGATTGAACTTGTAAAAAATGCATATTTACATTTTTATACACATAGACGATCGTTTTTGCCTAATTAGTTTCGCTGTGTGTTCCAGCGAATTAGCTGTATATTGACAATTTTATAATTAATCATGAATCGAACTAGGATATTGTGACGCGTTATGCTGCACTGACCGGCCATTATGTTGAACGTCGATTTGGATGGGATTGTCATGGCTTGCCTGTAGAATACGAAATTGACAAAAAATTGAATATCAAGGTAAAACAGGATGCAATTTCAATTCAATGTATTTCGTTTTGTCAAAAAAGATTCGAAAGAATGTGATCACCTTACAATGATGTTAATGTATTTCTATCGATTTAGGGCAAAGATGACGTACTAAACATGGGAATTGATAAATATAACGCAGAATGTCGGAGCATTGTAATGCGATATTCTGAAGCGTGGCGACAAACAGTCGAACGGCTCGGTCGCTGGATCGATTTCGATAACGACTATAAAACATTAAATACTACATTCATGGAGAGTGTTTGGTGGGTTTTTCAACAGCTTTATAATCGGGATCAAGTATATCAAGGTGTAAGAATTATGCCGTACTCTACTGGATGTACTACCCCATTATCAAATTTTGAGGCTGCACAGAACTATAAGGATGTGAATGATCCGGCGAGTAAGTCACCATATATATTGTAATTCCGCCTATTTGAATTTCGATTAATGTTTCGATACTTTGATAGTTGTGGTTTCATTCCCGTTGGTCAATGATCCGGATACGCTACTACTTGCATGGACTACCACGCCATGGACATTACCCAGTAACCTAGCACTATGTGCACACCCAGATTTTGAGTATGTCAAAATCAAAGATGAACTTACCGGGCACACCTATGTTCTTTTAGAAAAATGCCTTAATGTTTTGTATAAAGATGTAAAGAAAGCAAAGTATAAAGTCCTGGAAAAGATTAAAGGAAAAGATATGAAAGGATGGAAATATGTTCCATTGTTTGATTATTTTGTTCCCGAGGTACAGCATCAAGTTCTTGACAAATGAGCCGCTCCATATATATATTGTTGTAATCATCTATTTTATTATTAGTTTAAAGATAGAGCATTTGTGGTTTTAAATGATACCTATGTTGCCGATGATACTGGTACGGGTATTGTGCATCAAGCTCCCGCATTTGGCGAAGACGATTATCGTATTTGTCTAGAAAATGGAATTATCTCTGAGGATGGTCCGTTGCCTTGTCCTATTAATGAACAAGGAATATTTACGAAAAAGGTCACTGATTTCGCCGAGATTTATGTTAAGGTAAGTAATAGATAGTAAAAAAGGCATTAAGCGGATTTGAATATATAGACTTAATAGTTCCTTTGCAGATTTATAAGTTTTTGTCTTTTTTCTAGGATGCAGACAAAAATATACAAAAAGAGTTGAAACAACGAAAACGATTGGTCATACAATCGCAATTAATGCATAGCTATCCGTTTTGCTGGCGGTAAGCTTTACTATTAATTTTTTAAAAAAATTTGAGATAGGATGAATAAACTTAATATTTCTGGTTTTATATATTTCAGGTCAGATACCCCATTGATATATAAAGCAGTGCCTTCTTGGTTTGTTCGTGTAAAACCAATTATTGAAAATTTGTTGAAGAACAACAAAGAAACATATTGGTATGATAATTTGTTAATTAGTGATCGAGTATTCAAAATGGAGAAAGCTTTTTAAATTTTCATAAATAAAGGGTTCCTGATTTTGTGCAAGAGAAACGGTTTGCAAATTGGATCAGTAATGCACGAGATTGGAATATTTCACGAAACCGATATTGGGGTACGCCAATTCCGTTATGGGCTAGTGATGATATGAAAGAGGTAGTTAAAAAACTGTGTTATATGCGGTTACCTTAAGCATCTACTCACGCAAATTCACTATTATTATTATTACAAAGATTGTGTGTGTGGGATCATTAAAGGAACTCGAAGAATTATCTGGGTGTGAAAAATTAACAGACATTCATCGTGAAAAAATCGATCATATCACCATTCCCTCTAAACAAGGTAGAGGTCAATTGAAAAGGATAGAAGAAGTGTTTGATTGTTGGTTTGAATCCGGCAGGTATTTATCGAAGATCTTTATAAATTTGTATTTTCGTTGTGTTTATTTAACTATATATTTTCTTCATTTAGTATGCCTTATGCACAAGCTCATTATCCGTTTGAGAATAAAGAAAAGTTTGAAGCTTCTTTTCCGGCAGATTTCATTGCCGAAGGATTAGATCAAACTCGTGGCTGGTTTTATACACTAATGGTGCTATCGACCCATTTGTTTGATAAACCGGCATTTAAGAATTTGATCGTTAATGGATTGGTTTTGGCATCGTGAGTTTATGCTTTCTCATTATTTTAGAAGAATATGATGATAGATTAAGAAATTAACTCTTAATTTCATTATCAAGGGACGGAAAGAAAATGAGTAAACGCTTGAAAAATTATCCCGAGCCTACAAAGATTATTGATGCATATGGAGCTGACGCATTAAGGTAAATTTTTTTATTTATCTTAAACGTTTTACTCCTTTTTTTTTAACTCGCGGATCCTAATAGTTAAAATCGCTTTTTTTAAAGGCTATACCTTATAAATTCACCGGTTGTACGCGCCGAACCTTTGAAATTTAAGGAAGAAGGCGTAAAAGAAGTTGTCACAAAAGTATTTCTACCGTGGTATAACGCCTATCGCTTTTTTATTTCTCAAGTAGTTTTACTAAAAAAGGTTTGATTTACAAAAATTACTTATCAAGTTCCTCCAGCTGCATTAATGAATTATCATTTATTTAATTTATTCTTAATTTGAAAAATTTCACAGGAAACAGGAAAAGAATTCCAATACAATCCAGTAGCTGAAAAATCGAGAAATGTAATGGATCGATGGATCTTAGCGTCATCGCAGAGCCTCATCAAATTTGTTCGAGAGGAAATGGCCGGTAATTTACAATAAAAATACGCGTCATAAAATCGTTTTTTCCTTTGTAATTAAACTATTCCTCCCTAATTATATTTAATGAACTAATTATCAACAAATAGCCTACCGGTTGTACACTGTAGTTCCAGGATTATTACGACTCATTGATGAGTTAACTAATTGGTATGTGAGATTCAACCGAAAACGATTAAAAGGTGAATACGGATCAGAAGATACAATTGATGCTTTGAACACACTTTTTGAAGTTTTGTATACGCTATGTCGTTCAATGGTAAGTTTAATGCTGGCAAGTTTTGTTGTTTGTGGTCACGTTATTAGTGAAAAGCATGGGCTTAATCTTATTTTTTTTTGGCTGGGACAATTAAAAAGTCGTCATTTACACCCTTCATCACTGAGACTATATATCAAAATTTGCGTCCGTTTTTACCAGCACCCGAAGTTGATCAGGACCTGCGATCGGTGCATTTTTTGTCGTTTCCAGAAGTGCGCAAAGAATATTTTGACACGGAGATTGAACGTCGCGTTTCGCGTATGCAGACTGTGATTGAACTGGGACGCTTCATTCGAGAGAAAAAGAATATTGGATTGAAGGTTGATTTTTCTCGTAATTTTTTTATCTATTGATAATTCATACGAAACAATTTATGCGAGTTTTCACCTTTGGTTTCATTAGACTCCTTTAAAAGAATTAGTGGTTCTGCATTCTGATTCTCAGTATCATTCCGATGTCTTATCTTTAAAGAGCTACATTGTCGAAGTATGTATTCTTTTTTTCGAGCATTAGACTTGCAAGAAACTGAAATTAATTCATTTCTTAATGTTTTATTTAACACCCAGGAACTGAACATCAAAAATCTAGTAGTAACCTCGGATGAGGACAAATACAATATAAAATATCGAGCCGAAGCCGATTGGAAAGTCCTCGGTCAAAAACTAAAAAAAGACGCAGTCAAAGTGAAAAAAGGGCTTGAGCACGTCACATCAGAGCAGGTTAAAGAATTCCTGCACACAAAAGAGATCATAATCGACGGGATCAAAGTCGTTGATAAAGATTTACAAGTAGTTCGTTATTTTGATGCCAGCAGTGAGAAGGAGGGCAGCAGTCATTATGAAACTCATACGGATAAAGATGTGTTGATTCTGTTGGATATGAGAGAGTATCCCGAGTTACAGGAGGAAGGGTGGGCACGTGAGATTGTTAATCGGGTGCAGCGGCTAAGAAAAAAGGTTTTAGTTTTAAGGAGCCTTACGAAATTTTATCTTAATAAAATAGCCTGTTCATTTTCTCAAATATATTGTTTAATTAGGCCGGATTGCAACCAACCGATCCGGTTATTACATACTATCGTTTTACCAAAGATCCCGGTAACCAGATCGAACGCGTCCTACAGACCCCAGCAGCCGGTATTATCGTAAAAACATTGAAACGGCCATTAGTCTCGCACACAGAAAAACAAAAAATTGAAGATGAAGAACCTGATGATAGTAAAAGAAGCGAAATTATCATTGAGGAAGAACAAGAAGTAAATATTGATGATTGTTGTTACTGGTATATTTTTTACTAATGTGAATAAATTTTATAACCACCTTAACTAAATTTTCTAGGTGAATGAATCGACCTTTATCCTTACACTTGTGAAAGATTGGTGATAAGATGATTAATAATAATAGTTTAAAACACCAATATATTGTTATATTTAATTTAATAAAAAATCTAACACTTATTATTCCGTTACACGTGAGTAAAAACTTGCAAATGAAATACCCAATTTCGAATAATAATAATTTTTCTGCTATTGGTAATGTTAAAATTGAAAATTCTCTTTATAGAGCATAATGTAACAATAATTAGATGCAAGTATTTCCTAAGAACAAGATTTAACATTCGTAATTTTAACATGTAAATCGATTAAATATTTTTCCAATAATTTTTCTTGAATCAATTTTTGCGGTATAACGTCACAATGGATTTTTTTTCCTTGTACCTTTTTTAGCATTAGGATATAGCGATAGCAAATTCATTCTCTAAACTGGTAAAGCATTGTTTTTTTACTATTGTTACCCAGAAAGGTTTTTCGAACAAGTTACGAGCAGCAAGTAGCACGAGCAAGTTAAAAACAAGTTTTTACCATAACTATTCTAAACTGAGTAAAGATCTCGGGTATTGGCATTGCTAATTTTCGCAAGGATGAGTAAAGTGTGCTAGGTTGAAGCCATTACGATATTCTCATTCATTCGTATGTGAAATTCTTCCTTATATCACGAATTGACTGCGCATACACATCTTACTATTGAAGGTGGCGGCAATGATTCTGTTGCACAAGTAATAGCCAGAGTAAATTAGCTTCATAGTATCAATTCTCCATAAATGCAATTCGCCGGTTAATCAAAGAGTATATTTAAAGGTCAAATAATCTTATGACTAAACAAGAGTGTGTGCGTGCATTTATTTAGGGCGAGTTAACTGTTGTATGAGATAAAATCTTATTGGTAGAAAAGAATGCAACATAAACCGAAAAAAAATTTACGAAAAAAAAATTTCTTTCTTTTGGATTTCACGGGTAAGCAGCAACGGATTGTATTTTATTCTATTATTGTTGAATAACAAAATGATGAACAAACATGTTGGCACCAGTCTTAGTTAATACTTTGAAGACAACTGTACAAATATATACGCAAAAATATTCCTGATCTTTTCTGTCCTGCTGTGTTTATTTTTATCGTGTTTGATGATATTGATTTTTTTCTTTTTTTTCACAATTTTTTTTCAGCTAGGACTTGCAAAACATGAAGTGTTAACTATTATTTAATTAACGATGAGTATTTAATTGACAATGAGTCGAATCGAATCGAATCAAATCGAATCAAATCGAATCAAATCAGATCAATCAAAAAAATAAATTTATTACTGGTCTAAAGAAATTATTATTACTATTATTATTGGGTTTATGTACAATTAGTTTAACGAGAAAAATATAAAAACTATTATTATCAATAACAGATATTAATTATGAAAATAAACTAGAAATTACAAAATATAAAAAAATCTAAGTGTTGATCGATATTCTTTGTAAGAATCAAGAGTTCAGCAAGGATTAGGATAGATCAATAATAGTTTAGTAAAAAGTAGCATAAATCAGAATCGATTAAATTTTCCTCTCGTTTGGTAAATAAAAGAAAACAATTACATATACACTATAATCAAGGAGCATGATAATGAATAATCATGATCATAGTCCATTTTTTAAAGCTTCGCGTTTCGCTTTCTGCTCAATGCGTCGTCTCAAAAACACCGGAATCAACACAGCAAGCCCAATCAACACCAATGCACTCACATTCTCCACGGTAAAAATGTGAAAATTCGAGGAATTCGCCATCGTATTTATTGTCTCACCAGCTTGCACGTGAATCACTGAGGGTCCAGCAACCCCAAAGAACGTGCCAAGGATAAAAGTTTTCAGTGGAATGCCAACGTGGGGTGCTGCCAGATTGGCGAACCAGTTTGGCGGAAATGGTGAAAGACGGAGTACAACTATGTAGTTGAGAAGATTGCTGGAATGTGTTTGTATATGGGACGCGAGTTGGTCCAATTTGTCGGCATATCGTTCTTTCATGAATGCTTTGCCGAATTTTTGGGATAATAGATAAGAATGGGTGGATCCAATCGTGCAACATGCGCACACAACTGGTAGTGCGACCGGTAAACCAAACAATGCACCACCCAATATTGATAACCACATGCTTCCTGGTATTGAAAATGTTTGCAAGCTGTTATTTTATCACCAAAGGAAAGTAGTTAATAAGAAAGGTTCGAAAGAAACAGCATGAATGAATTGAAATAAAGAAAATAACTTACAAAATATATATAATGACGAAGACAGCCAATACTCGGGGATAAAAATTATCCATATAGAAACTCAACAGTTCTTTTAAATCCCGGAGTTCCTCAACGTTTCTAGGCAATTTCAAAAGCTCACGTTTACCCCTTTTAACAAGAAATTCAAAATAATGGTTTAGTCAAAAAGGAATGAATTGACCTTCTTTTCTCGCTAAAAGGATTGTCCCACAAACATGTAAGATCCTCACCAAAGAAATCACAGATTCGGTGAACGGAGAAAATAAATGAAAGACTCACGGTTCTATCGGAGGTAATAAGAGCTGTACAGAGATATACACGAAGCCAAGTGCCACACAAAACAACACCACTAACTGTGCAATAGCTTTTACAGTTTTCCAGCGGGAAACTTTTATCTCGTCCGCGCTCTTACCAAGGTTGTCAATATTTTTGTAAGCTTTAGTATCATGGTCGATGGCGTCGGGAAAATTTACAATTACATATGTGCCGCCTCGTTGACTTTGTAATAACGGGGTTACTTCTGTTAGGGTTGGTCGAACTAGATTTTGACGCATGTTGACAATTTGATATTGATTTTAGAGTGAAAAGTGGTTCAACTTTTGACACCAATGCGATATGATAATAAGCACAAGTTTTTTTGGACGATTTCGATTTTGGAAATAAAGGTTCTTTATTTATTGGTAATATTCAATAAGAGCTTTGCAAGGAGAATAATATGAATTATCATGTGGCAATTAAAATCACATTTCACAGTTGAAAATTATTTACGGTCAGTTGACTATATTTTTTATTTTCGATCCAACTTCGAAGATGCTGTCATATTTATATAGAAGTAAACAATTAGGATGAATAGTAATTATATCATTATAAGTAAGTATGCACACAAAAGGGGTAATACTTATTCAAAAATAATTGTGTGTAAAACGATAAGTAATGTTTGTTGATTTGTTGAATTTGGGAATATTATGAGAGACTGAATAATTTATAGTAATTTATAGTAATTTATAATAATTTATATCATCGATTACTTGATCGATCTTTGATAAGTTGAGGGCACTTGCATTTGTGGAAAGTGATACAATCCGCATGATGATTATTTTATATTATATGTGTGGTTTCGGCATTTTATCTACCGGTTTGTTCACAAATTATGACGTGGAGTTAATTTACTCGGTCGGTCAATACATTCCCCATTATTTATGTCTTTCCATCATAACCGTAAATTACAAATTTGGGAGAATAAAAGATATAGCGGATAAATTTTTGGTCCTTCATTCTCTATATCGTTATTGTTTATCCTGTTACCACAAATGACCATATAAAAGACCCCCTTTGTAACGGTAACCTTTCAATTCAGTCTTCAATGTGACTTCCAAAAGGATTTACCTAGATTTGGTATTCGCAGGAGCATGTGATACATATAGATTAACCTTAGATAGTAGAATAGACTATCGTATATATATCGATATGTTATCATTCTGATATCAATGGGGTTATACACATATGCGATGGTGTCATCCATATCGATATATTGTTTAAAACGCAACTTTATTACTTAAATATAAAGTAGATTTGTAATCAAACAAAACTTTTTTTTGATTTGTTAATAGAGAAATATATCAAAAAAGTCTTCTATATTTTTTTGCTTATTATCAATTGATTTATATAGGATATTCAAATCTAAATTAATTTAAATTTATAATAAAAACAATATTAATCTCTGAATTAAATTTAATTAGTATTAGATAAAGTACTTTCAATTAAAATCATAGTTTCAACTATGGTGCATAAAATCTAAAGTCATCAAACATTTGTATTTTATAAAATGTATAAACTTCTTTATTAAGAAATAAATACAAAATTTAATCCGTGAATATGCTCAGAAAAGGCCTATTCTATCATATTCACGGATTAAATTTTGTATTTACTTCTTAGTAAAGAAGTTTATCCATTTTATAAAATACAAACGTTTGATGACTTTAGATTTTATGCACTATAATAGGAAAAATATCTAATAAATATATTTACACATTGTTATAAGTCAGATTTTACTATTTTAAATTATCAAATTCTTATTAAACAATTATATTTTATTGGATAATATTTTAATATATTTTTATTGAATAATTATATTTTATATTTTATTGGCTAAGATATTTTTCAAATATTTGTTTAAAATTTATTTAAATATTAATTCAAATATCAATTTGAATATTTATTTGAATATTTATTTGAATATCAATTTATTATTACAATCAAGTTTCTTTATAATTATTCTTGAAAAAGCAAAATTGAATATAGGATATAATTATAAAGAGATTTTTTTTATTATATTTATATATAAATAAAGCAAAATAAGATGGTTATAAAGAAATATAATCATAAACAAATATAATTATAGAACAATTTGATTATAATCTTATAAATAATTTAATATATTCAACAATTTTTTATAAAAATTATATATTTTAACTTAAAAAAATCATCAAGTATTTAACAATTAAGCTCTTTGAAAAAATTAATAAAATATAATATTAACTTAATTTTTTTATTATTTCAATTAGATTTTAGATTTATTTAGTTAATATAATTTCTTGACTTTTGTTGCAAAATTATATTTATAATTTTATATTATTATTTGTTTATAATTTCTTGTTACTATTACAAAGTTATATTTATTGTTAATTGATAAAGTTATAATTTCTTGTTATTATTACAAAGTTATATTTATTTTAGTTTGTTAATTTTTATCTTAATTGCAAAATCATGTTAATAAAAAAAATTATTAATAGTCATATGATTTGTTATACAATTAGAAAAATAAAAATTGAACATATAATATTAATCAATTTAAAAATTAATATAATTATATTTTTGAATTTTTCATTTAAAGTTTTAGTTAAAATACTTAAAATATCTTTAAATAAAGATATTATCTAAATTTTCATAAACAAAATAATATCTTCTTATAATACAATATTTTTAAAATTTGCATTTATTTTGTCTACTTTTGCTTAATTATTTTTTAATTCACAAATTCTTATTATAAAAAGTAATTTAATAATTGTGCTTAAATAAAGGTTTTTAATAATATATTATAAACAAAACAAAAAAAACTGATTTTTTATTATATAAATTACTTTATTTTATTTGTATAATACATTATATAACTAATAAAATTTGAAATATAGTAAAAACTAATTTTTCTTGATTTTTTTTGTCTTATTTATAATATTATCTGCTCAAAATAAAAGTTTATTAAAAGCTTTTATTTAAGTATAATTAGTAAATTATTTTTTATAACAAAAATTTGTGAACTGAGAAATAATAAAGTTTCAAAAAAAAGTTTGATTTAGTTCAAGTCTAATTTAATTCAAGCTTGAATCTGACTCAAATTTAATCAAAAATTCAGTTTAAAATTCAAAAGTCAAATTCAAGTTTAATTTAAACTTTGAACTTGATTAAAGTTCAAATAAATATTTTAATTAAAGTTATAAATTATAACTAAAGATGCTTGCCAAAATTCAGGAGTTTCAGCAATCTGTCAAGCTGAAATTATTAAATACTATTTCAACAAATAAAATTTAATTGTCAAAATGCTGAAATTCAAAGTTATATCAAAATTCAAAGTTATGTCAAAATTCAAAGTTATGTTAAAATTCAAAAATTATATCAAAATTCAAAGTCATATCAAAATTCAAAATCATGTTAAAATTCAAAATTATACTAAAATTCAAAATTATATCAAATATAAAATAAAAAATATATTATTATATATTAAATTTAAAAAATTTTATTATAAATTAAAATTAATATTTAATATTTAATAATTATTAAATTTAAATAAAAAATTTTACAAAAATATAAATAATATAAATTAAATCCATTTTCGT